CCCAGTTGTTTCTCTGGGCATTGTCTCACAAGAGTAAAAGGCATCATAATACAATATCTTCACACTTATGTCTATAGCAGCACAAGCCTTAATAGCTAAATGTTGGAAATATCCCATATGCCCATCAATAGATGAATGCATAAAGAAAATGTATTTCTACACAATGGAGTACTACTCTGCCATAAAGTAGGATAAGCTTGAGTCATTTGCAGGAAAATGGATGCACCTTGAGACCATAATCTTAAGTGAAATAAATCAGACTTACAAGTTTACATATAACATTGTTTCTCTTGTGTGAGAAATCCAAAGGGCAAATAAGGAGCATAATGGAGGATAGATGTTAGGAAAAAGGAAGATAATGTTCAAATGGGAAGGAGAATAGGGGAGGGGCAAAGGGGAGGGAAGGAAGGGAAAAGAAAAAAAAGAATAGAAGGAAATGGAAAAAAGCTTTTGTGGATGGAGAGGGGAGGAAGGGCTGAAGGGAGGGGAGGAGAATGGGAAAAAGGAAAAATTAAGATATATTATGTACATGTACAGATTCTCTACGATGAATGTGATCAATGAATGTGTTATGTACAACAAATATGTAGTAGTAAAAATATACAGTTTAAAAAAGCAAAAAAGGGCCGGGGATTTAGCCCAGCGGTTCCACCGGCTGACTCACAAGTGCAAGGACCCAACTTTGATCCCCAGTACCAAAAAAAAAGCAAAAAAGAAACACATGTCTATTCTCCTAAAGTATAAACTTAGTGCAGTTTCAATAAAAATCTCAATAAAAATTTTATGGAACTTGACAAGTTAATTCTGAAAGTCATCTGAAAGAGGAGAGGAATAAAAATAGCTAAGACAGTTTGAACTATAATAAAATGGAGGGATTTGCCTCAGTGAAATAGCAAATTTTCTGATAAAACTATAGAAGAAACACAAAAAAATATATACGCTTGTCTTGGATGGGCTGTGTGTCTCCAAAGTGCCTGCTGGATACAATATCACCTCTAAAAAAATTATTCAACATGAGTCATTTCTAGGATAGTCGCATAATCATCTTCATGAGTGATTGAGGCAATGACCAGAGCCACAAAAAAAAAATTGGATATAATGAAAGCCAAACTTTCATATGGTACTCTGGTGCAGTCCAATTAAATGGTGTCACTCAGACCCCATAATACCCTCTTCTGGAGGAAAACAGATCCTCATAAACAAACAGAAAATGAGTTAATTGAATATATGTGGACGCTTATGTGAAAACTCAAGTAACCCAACAAAGCTCTAGGATGTTGTTCTTACACTCTCAGGACTGGAGAGAAAGAATTTTGGAAGGCAAGATCTCAGGGAGGCTACACAGTTAGAGAGATGAGGAGCCCTTGTTCCTGCATCTTCTTGTCAATTAAAACAATTCACATAGCACTGTGTGTCTTCTCTGTGCAGCCTTAAGACTGAGAAGCAGAGACATCCCAGGCTTGGAGGGACTTGAAACTCATAATTTGGGGATGGGACCAGGGGAAGGAGAGGAGAACTTCCTTATAAAAAAATTGTAAGTGGGCTAGGGTTGTAATTCAGCAGTAAAACAAATGCATAGCATACTTCGGGGTATAGGTTTGATCCCCAGCAGAAGAAAATAAAAAATACAAAAACTGCAAACATAATGAGGTATGAAAAAAGAAAACCATAATAAATCATAAATTTTTTAAAAATCACAGAAGCTAGAAAAATATTTATACTAGTTACTTCTTGATATACCTCTATTTTTTCCTATATACTTTGGCTGCATAACTGTCTCTGTCTTAAGTGGCAGTGATTTTAAAATACTATTTTCTATGGAGGGAAAGGAAAGATAATTCAATCTTTTCTGGAGTTACTCTTCTTTTTTGTTTGCTTGGGGTTCTTTTTTGTTTGTTTGTTTTTTGAGACAGGGTCTCACTATGTAGTTGAGACTGATCTGGAACTCACTATATAGCCCAGGCTGGACTTGAACTCACAGCGATCCTCCTGCCTCAGCCTCCCGAATGCTGGGATTACAGGTGTGTGCTACTACACCCGTCTGGAGTCACTCTTCTTATAGTTTCTGGACCTCCATGTTGGTCTTCTGCTTCCTGATACTGTCTCATTCACATAGTCTGACCACTCCACACAACTGCATGTATAATTCTTTCACTTCACAACTCATCCCTTCACCCAAGCAAAAGTGCAGATGCCATGCCCTTGTGATCCATGTCCTAATAATTCTGATAAATTCTATCAGGACATTTCTTAGAAAGACCAAAGCCTGCAAAACATGAAATATTCAACGATAAAATGACAACTTGTGAAATCGCTCCCCATGTAAGTTGCCCAATATGGTAACCCTTGTGCACCTCCATCAAAGCGTGGGTCATTCATTTGGAAATATCTGGCCCGAAAACATCACAGAAATTTACTACAAATTTTTTGCAAGAAATAGGGAATTGCATAAAATTGATAGAAGTGATGTGAAAGAAAAACAAAAGTGATGTTGATGAAGTGCTTGGATCCACATGCAAAGTCACTAATAAGTCCTCACAAAACTGGATCAGGTAACAAATGAAAAAGAAAAATCAGTGAGAATGATGTTGACATCAATAACTTCAAAAGGATATAATGTGATTTCAAAGGATTAGGAGAAGGATTTGGGAAAACTATATAAAGCTCTCCAATTCTTTTGTAAATATGACCCTGCTATTCAATCAAATGCAAAGTGAAGGATAATGAACAATATTTTAAAAAATTATGTTCCCAAAAATTAACAGTTAAGATGTGAGAATTAGCACATAGTAACTGTAATCTAAAATGTGTCAGGTGTAAGATAAATTTAATTTCATAATTTTGGCTGCTTTTTCAAGACAAAGTCCTAATGAAATCTTTTTCTTTCATATGGAATGTAGGTCTCCATCTTCAATAAATTCAAATAGATTAAAAGATTAAAAGGATCTTTTCTGGTAACAATTGTCTTGGGAAAAGAAAGACCAGCTGTACTTATTTCTTTTTTTCTCAAGCACACAGTATTTTAAGAATCTCCCCTACCATACCAATTGTGACTCTCCAAGAGTAGAATAGAAAGTAGTTTTTAAAATTCCATCATTTTGACAGTCACCCTAAATGACCCTTAGGGTAACCAGAAAAATGTAGGAGTAGCTAACCACCTTAACACAGATTTTGCTTTGATGAAGTTTCTCTGCCTCTTTCTGGCCCTTTCCTTTCTTCCTCTCTTGCTACCCCTGTACCCCTCAGTTCTGGGATGGAAGCAGGGCCTTCTCTCTAGTACAGAAGCAGCACTCTATCACTCTTTCAGTCCCCCAAATCTTTTTTAATCATGTCAGCTGGCTTGTTTGCACCATATTCCTTTCTTCCTTCCTCTTACATAACCCTCTCCCTAAATCAGGAAAGTGTTTCAAATTTTATCTGCGCAGTCTTTAGAATTTCACACCCTGCTCCTGCTTTTCATGTTGTTTTATTTCCTTAAATTCAACCCCCCATTAAAATTAGTGAAAGTGATTTTCTCATTTTTTTAATGCATTTTCTCAGCTTGTATTCCTACGACTCCATTTTAGTCTGTATTCATTTGGACAGTAAAGCACTTTGTAAATATTATTCGGCTCTGCCTGTTCTTTCTGTTCTGCCTGTCAGGTCCTGGTGCGCAAATCCTTCAGCCGCCATTTCTTCTCTATTTCCCTTACAGAGTCTAGAAGATTGACTAAGATTGACTAGTGTGCAATATGCTTCACACTTAAAACAATATTAAAATGTTGCATAAATTTGACAGACTCACCTCTCCCTATCACTTCAAGTGCCAATACTTTTTAGATCCCTCTCTGCCTAGCAACTATTTTCCCACAAACACACATGTGCCTAGCTGAAGTTCTCTTGACCCAGATTTCCTTGCCCGAATTGTAGAAATACTGTTTAAATCCCCCCTCAAGAAATACCTTATTGGTACCCCAAAACTCTGATGTGTGGCTTTTTCCCTTGGTGACAGTGAGAGGACAGGAAAGGAGAGTAGGGTTGAAGAAAGTTACATTTCATTTTTGCTCTTTACTTCCTCCCTCCTTCCTGCTCTCCTCCTTGCCCCTCCCCTTCTTTCCTTCCGATTTCTTGTACTGGGGATTGAACCCATGGCCTTTAGCCTTATTGCAAACCCAGCCTTATTTAACTCTTTTTTTTTTTTTTTTTTTTGAGACAGGCTTTCACTAACTCGCTAAGTTGTAAAGGCTGGACTTGAACTTGCGAGATGTGTGCACCATGCCAGCTGAGGTTACCGTCACATGCACATCCCAACGATCTTTTACAGTCAGATATAATGCATCCTTGTACTTTCATATTGTAGCATGTTCTTCATTTTTAGCACCTGAAGCATGCTAAGGACTTTAGGAAAATGTTTTAAACATTTTATGTAACTTACTATTTCTTCATGAGCTTTGTCACTTTTTCCCTGAACTACTACAGTCAGGCAACACTTCTAAATTCATTCTCCTATTAAGCATTATTTCATGCCTGTGAAAAATAAGCTTACGTTGTATGTACTTAATCTGTAACGTGCAGAAAAGCTTACTCTTTTCTTTTTTGCATAAAGCTTTGGGATTTGCAAGATGCTTGTTTAATTTTCACAAGTTCGTTAGGTGGAGAGAATAGGTCATTATCTCCAGGAAAAGGAAAAGCAAGCATTAAATGATTTGTTCAGGGTCACGCCGTATAGATACACCTACATTGAAAAACGAGGCCTCTGGACACCAGAGCCAGTCTTGGTCAGCATCACACCGCGCAACCTTAACAAATAACCTGAGCTAGGAAGCAGCCTCACACTAACACCTAAGAAAGTGCGGAAGTCGAAAGTGGGGAAAGCATAACGCGCATGCGCAGGTCACCAGCGGAAGGCCCGCAGACGGAGAAAGGTTGGAAAAGGAGGCCCGGCTCCTTTTCAAACTGCACCCGCCGACAACGACCTCCTGCGAACGCGCATGCGCACTTCTTAAGGTTGAAGGTCACGACAGAAGAGGGGGTGGTGTCTCAGTAGCGCAGGCGCAGTTGTGTGTTGGGGGGGTAAAATGGCGTTCCCAAAGTATAAGCCGTCGCCCTGGGCTACTCTTCCCCCTACCCTTGACCCAGCAGAATACGATATATCTCCGGAAACCCGGAAGGCGCAAGCCGAGCGCTTGGCTATAAGAGCCCGGCTTAAACGAGAATATTTGCTTCAGTTCAACGACCCAAGTCGCCGAGGGCTCATCGTGAGTGGGGGGCTGCCGGGCGGGACGCGAGGGCTGGAGTCTGCGCTCCCCTCAGGCTGGGCTTCCCAGACTCCACAGGGGACCGCGTGGGGGCTAGCGTTTCCATTCCGGACTTTAGATCGGTCCCTCCCCACGGCCCGGAGGACAGGGCACCTCCTTAGTCCTTTGACCTTGTTCAGAGAGCTACCATTCTAGGTTGGCCTCTGGATTCAGATATGTTTTGGTCTGAGCCTTGCTTGGAACACCTGTTCCCTGGCTGGTTTTGAGCAAGTTAACTGTCTAGCCTTGTTTTTCCTATCTGAAAAATGGATACAATGTAGTACTTTTACGAGTCTGTTAGGAGGATTAAATGAGACGTGTGACTGGACTAGCATAGTGCCTGGCTTGTAACCAGCATTTTCAGACCCATCTGTGCCTCAGAATAATATGTATAATTTAAAAAACTGTTTTATGCTTTTCATTTTACATCCTCTTAGAGATACTACTCTCTCCTAAAGGGAATACAGTGATTTTTCCTCCTATTTTTTTTTTTTTTAAAGACCCTACAGCTTGCTACAACTTTGGACTTGGAAGGAAACCAAAAGACAATGTACTGGCAAACTATGAACTTGGACAACTTTCCTAGCCCCTCCAAATCGTACATTTTAAATGTTTTCATGGGAACGATGTACATTCTTAATATAATTCTTAGATTAAATGAGATAGTCTATGTAACAGTCCAGGTACACAATAAAGGCCCAGTAAGCTGTTATTGTTTAACAAGTGTGCCTTTTCATAGGTTTATGTGCAAGAGCTTTTTAGGTGTCTCAAATAAGATGTTTTTAAAAAGACTAGCGAACACTTCATTAGTGTTCTCTGGGAATTTTTGGAAATTGTGAGAACTGAAGGAGAGTTGCAGTGTGCCTGACACTTGCTAAGCCCCTTCTGAGTTTTTATTCCAACGTCACAGCTCCTAAAAGCATTTAGCTCTGCTGTCCCTACAGCTCTGCTGTAGGTGAGGATACAATATGGGCTGGACATATCTTGTAGATTATGCACTGTCAAGTCATAGAACTGAATTTGAACTGTGTAGTCCACAGTATTTGCTGTTACCTGCTTAGCTGTCCAGCCAAAATCTTTTTTACTTGACACATCTATTATATACATATGCACGTGATCAAATTTGATGGGCTGGATAGTGTGATGGGGTGGGGTATAAGGCTTCATTCAGATCTGACATGTGAACACCAGATTTTTTTCCCAGCACAGTGTCCCAGGGAAGTTTCAGTTTCCTCATCTGTGAAACAGAATGATACTTACCTCTTTAATTCCTTTCATTAAATGTGTGTGCCACAATCATTTATTAATCAATATGTGTAAGTTCCCTTGCCTAGTCTGTAGGAATGATTGGTTCAGTAGTAAAATTTCTCAGGTCTATTATTGTTTTAAAAAAAATTTTTTTTTTTTAAATTTTGAGATGTGGTCTCACAGAGTTGCATAGGCTGGGCTTGAATCTGTGAACTTCTGCCTCAGCTTCTAGAGTGCTGGAGTTGCAGGTGTGTGCCACCATGGCAGGCTGACTCCAGGGTTTTTGACCTAAGCAATTAGAAGAATGAAGGTTCCTTTTATTAAGATAAAGAGTGAGAGTAGTAGGAATTAAGGTCAAAAAGAATATTGGGAAGTCAATTTGGGATGTGACATTTGAGATTCCTGTTAGGCAATATGTCAGTGCGAGCAGTTTATTGGATACTGTTTGGAGTAGAGGTCTAGGGCTAGATGTAAAACTTTGACAGTCATCAGCACAGATAAACTTATCTGACTGGATAACATCATTAATGGAGTAAATAGAGAGACTACAAGATCTGATGTCCAATAATTAAGAGATTGAGTAGACCAAAGAAAAAAAGCAAAGGAGATGAGAGAGTAGCCAGCGAGGTAGGAGAATAACCAAGCAGGCAGGGACCCAGAAAGCCAAATGAGCAACTGGTTTCAAGAGTACTCACCATGTTTTTTTGTTTTGTTTTGTTTTGTTTGGTACTGGGATTGAACTTGGCACCTTGGCACTTGTGAGGCAGGTGGAACCACTGAGCTAAATCCCCAGCCCCTCCCCTCCCTGCCCCCCACCCTGCATTTTTTTTTTTTTTTTTTTT